AATAAAGAGTCTTAGACACAACTATAAAAGCAATACAAAGCAATTCACTTTCTTTACTGATAGATCTTACAAGCAATGTACAAAAAGTGAGAACGAACTTGAAATGGGTCTTGCATGGATTCAAATTAAGAACAATAAAATAATTAATCAATTCTTAACAGGGGCAATATCGTGGCTATCAGCTACAAGAGTAGAAATCCTAGTCATATTTACTACAATCTTTACAATACCTAAAAATGAAGAAGCAACTATATACTGTATACAGATTGTAGTGCAGCCATTAAGATATGGAGGACAATTTAGTCACAAATGTTTATTTTCATAAGAAAATGGATCAAAATAACCAACTGGTCACTATGGAACTGAATCAAGGACCTAGTATAAAAGAAAAACTTTTGCCTCACACTTGAAAAGATCAAGGTCCATCAAAATAATAAGTTCAACAATATAGCAGATAGGTTAGCAAAGTAGGCCAGAAGAGAAAATCCTTTAACATGATAACAAACACCTGATCTGTGTCAAGTTCTCACAATAGTAGCCTGGAAAGAACATATTATTGATATTAGTATTAAAGATTTTCTTAAAAAATAGAATACTAAGAAAATAGAACTAGCTTGAATGGAACAAAAATGTATCCAAGACCGATGAATGCACCCTAGTAATGAAATTGACTGGCAAATTTTCTGGAGACAATTCAATCCATACAATACCTTTTACATCTCCTTTAGTACCAATAAGGACAAAAGTTTTTTAGTAAATCTAACCCATGATGAGCTTCCTATCCTTCAAGTGATGCAGAAAAGAAAATCATACTTATATTCAAGCACAATTTGCTTAATATGTAATTTATAAGAGGAAACCCTGAAACATCTTTTCGAATGTCCCAAAACTCAAAGTGAAAAATAAATTATATGGGACAAATCTTAAAGTAAAATTTTTCAATATATCAGGAAAACAAAAGATCTATTTGACGAAAGCCAGACAGAAGTTAAAAGAGTAACAGAGAAATGGATCCAGGATATTAAACAACAGTATGAAAGCTTATGTAATACAGCCTGTGGCTTTATATATAGAGACAAGATCAAGATCCTGGAAAAGCAACTCAAAGCCCTCAAGATTCTAGCAACAACAACACAAGAAGCTATTGATAAATTTTGTAAAAAAATGAAGAAGACCTTCAAGAAAGAAGTTTGAAACAAACACTGTAGCATTACTATCGAATGGAAACAAAATCAAGAAATTATCAGTAAACTTAAAAGGCTTGGAGTAACAACTGATATGACTAGAAAAATGGATCAAGTCCTTAAGGAAGCCAATTACTTCTCTATTTATCCCTTCAGAAATATGACAGAAGAAAAAAAAACTCAGAACAAATAAAGTTTTAAGGTAATATAGTAGATATAATAAATATTTGGATATTCAAAAGTTTTAAATGGTTTGGTTTTTAATCACAGTTAGAACTTCAGGATATCTACAATTATGAGCTATAGACAATGATCTAAGTGGCTAAAGGATAATCCAAGCCACAAAGAGAGTGAAATATCATCCCCTAAGTTGTATTTAAAGAAGGTTAAACTTTGTAGATGGGTGAGTCAATATGTGAAAGTCATAAAATATGTAAATATCAAATATGTTTACAATAAAATAGACAAGCTATATTGACCTGACTGCAGATTAAAAAAAAAAAAAAAAAAAAAAAAAAAAAAAACTATTCTTAGATTTTATCTATTAAGAATAATATCTTGTTAGCTATTCTACTATATCCAGGCTATCTGATGTTCTAGAAATCTAATAGTAGACTTCTTCTTTATTATTTAGAGAATTATTTGATATATGTTTACTTTTTAAAATATCTGTCTTACTATATTGGATATATTCCTTAATTGATATTTTTTACTACATTTAGTTCTTAAAAACTTGATTGTCTATTGATATTCTTGATTTTTATATAGTCTCAAGTAAGTCTTATAGCAACTAATGATGAGCCAGATTGATGATCAAAGTTTTTCAGTGACCATTTTTAACCACTTTTCAAATATGGTCTTGTAGAGGCTTACCTTAGTTATTATATAAGACCTTTGATTTATTCCAAATATATAAGTTCTTACAGATATTCTATCATGATTATTAAACTTTATCATTTCTTATTGATAACTTGTGAGGCTCAATCTCTGATAGTCATTAATAATAGTAATCTCAAATCTTTCAGTATATACCTGATCCTAATGTTTGTGATTGGTATATACAATTGAAGTCTCCTAGACCTCTCATAAGATTGGAATTTTTAAGAAGAGATAAATTTCATATAAAGCTAACAGGATCTTGAGTCATTATTATTTTTCTTAGTAATCTTTTAATATCTTTATATATTTTAGATAAAAGAATATTGTGATTTTGTTTCTTGATACTAAAACCAACTAGAACTTGTATAATCTTATTTATTATACTATGGTTGGATGGTGGGATCTGATAGGTCAACTTTTGTATAAAAGTACATGTGATTGATAAGTATATATCTTGTATAATGTAATTTATCTTGTGAAAACTATTCTTAAGTGGAATTGAACTAATAATTTACAGATAATGACTTGGAAGTATACTCACTGCACTATTGATCTATAGGTTTTTTAAAATATTCTATAGCTTTACTTTATCAAATATAACTATAATTTTAAAAGATACTTGAACTTCATTTAAGATAGTATAGTTATTATTTTTATTTCTATTATTTTATATTCTCAAATATTATTTTAACTTAATTATGTTTTAAAGAAGAAAATCCTCTTTCTGAAGATTTTTCAGGATTGATTCAACAATAAAATTATCTTTAATTCAAAATCATTGTTTTATCTTTTTTATCTAAATTATCAGTAATAAAACTTTTCATTTATTTTTGTCTAAATTAAAAACTTTTGCATATCATATTAAAAATATAACTTAATATTTCCTTTGCACTAGTTCTTTGTCTCTATCTAATTTCTAAGAGATAAATTGAATAGATTAATAACATAAAAATTATAATTGCATAAATTATATTTAAGTTTATTTGTTCATTTGTTATTTTCAATTTGTTTGATAAATGTATTAGTTAAAAATTGAAACCCAGTTTTCTGAGCATATTACTATGCATAGTATGTAAATTAGATTCAAAAACTTTATATTCTTTTTTTATTATTCCTTATTCATTTTCTTCATTTTTCCTTTCTCTCAAATTTTTAATATCTATTATTTTCTCGAATAACAGAATTCCATAGTAAATAGCAATAGACGGTCTATAAGATTCTTTATAAATTTATTTTCATAAACTTTTTGTAAATACTGTATATTGGTTGACATACAGTATGGTATTATTAAAAAAGGTTGAGTCAGTTTTTTGAAAAAAAAAAATTTTTTTTTATACTAATATTTAAACAAAAATTATATTAATTAATAAATTGTTTTTTATTTTAAATGTTTCATACTGTTATCTATAAAATGAAATATTTTTTTTAGGATTAATAATTTTAAAATTATCTTTTTAAAATAAAACATTATGCAAATATAAAATTTGACAGTTTGTTTGCAAAACTTAGGTTGATGCAAATAATTTTATTCATGTAGTTTACATCTCATTTTTTTGCAAAAAAAAAACCTTTGTAATATATTTAGAACGTAAAAGACGCCACGACATTATGATCAACACTTTTTTTTTTTTACTTTTTTACTTATGAAACACCTGATCCAAAAATTTAGAGTAATCGTATCCGTCCGTCGAGACTTCGCTTGGGGGCATGGTCTCTTGTAGATAGGACACCACATTCTGTGGCAACAAAGACCTCTTTAAATCAAGCTCGGTAACATACGGCTTATCGCCGGCCACGATCTTGAAAGATTGTCGAAGTTGGTCAGGAGACGTTTTATCTTCGGTCACATTTACCATGAATAGAATAAACTATAATAGCGAGTGCCTTACGAATTAGATAATTATAAAAGATCACATGATAAGCTGAAAATTTAACGATACCTGAGAGAAGGACGCTTCGGGCTCTCCTGCGGACATCTGGTAGAATGCCGATTCAAATTCGGCATCCTAATAACGTGAAAGCATTTAGATTTCGGAACGATTTCTTAGAAAGCTAGATCACCAAGTTGCTTACATTATACATAAGACCGAGACTGGCCAAAGCTGCTTTAAATTCAAAAATATTCAGTGTGTTAGAGGCATCCTTGTCAAAGTGACGAAAAGTACTCTCGAATTCCTCCAATTGTGCCGGTGTGAGATTTGTCATGTTTCTTGACACAATCTAGTTCAGATAAAACGAATGAGTCGTCTGCTCATGTCCAGCAGTAATATGTACAAGAAAAGAAGCAAAAGAAAAGAATTAGCAAACCTGATTCTCAATGAACGCCGTCTTCTTGGCAATTGATTGCTGCACAAGACCTAACTCGAATCTTAAATCGTCCACGGAAAAGACGGTGTAATCGTTTTCTTCAATGTTTGCCTCATTGCATTGCACATCAAGATCCTCAATGTGACCGAGAGAAGTCTCCAAAGGTTTTAATTTGGAGGAAAGATCTTTAACTATCGAAAGTTGAGCCTATAATTACAAGTGTGATAATGAGTTATTTGCGAACTAAAAAAAAAAAAAAACATGTCGGTGACAAGAAATACAACAATGTGTTACATCTAACTCTCCATCCAATTTGGCCAATGGCTGTGAAATAGACTCTAGATTCCTCTGGAATTCGTTAGCAGAACGTGCAAATGACCTGCGTAGGCTTTCCTTGATCCTAAAGGGGGGTATCGTAATTAAAGGGAGGTAATTACCAATTCAATGATTTCACATGGGAATCCGATCCTCCCAATCTTCTAATTCTCGCAACTCACTCTCTTATCTTGTCATTAATGATTTTGTATCTTTGAGCTTCAGCGTTCAACAGACCTCTCCACACTTCATCCAAATCAGCCAATGTCAATCCGGGAGGTGGATGATATGGTTCCAACACGTACGTCTTAAGTTTGGTCTGAATGTTGCCAAGCAGGGTATCGATGTCACTTTTCTCCGAAACCCATGCTCGCTTTTCGCTATTTTTATATTGATTAAATTCAGCTGACCGACGTTTGGCGTCGGAATAACTTCCGTCAAAATTTGCGTTGACCCACTCAGCTTTTTTGTCTGCGACGTTCTTCATCAACTATGAAAGTTTCGAGGCATGCATTGATGGTAAATATGCATTGAACTACGAATTACCACGTCGACCCTTGACAAAAATTACCTGCTTAACACGTCTCTCATAACTGTGCTCCATGTCCCACGCAGACTGCATGACCTCTGCAAATTTTGCAACTCTTCTGCCGGCGGTTTCAACCATATCTATGAGCGAGAGATCATTCTAAGGATTACTGTGAAGATGCAGAAAGACGATGGCTGAAATCACACGAACCCAGATGTGAGAATGCGTGGAAATATAAGGCAACATAGGTCATAACAGACCTTTCGTCAGGTTTCTGAATATCGCAAACATCTTCCACATCCAATAATTGCTTTATGGTTTTATTAAAAAATAAAATAAAATAAAAAAAAAAAATAGGATTTTTTTATCATATTCTTATCATAAAAGAAGACACCAATCTACTTACCGTTATCCCAAGATGAGTGGCTGCGACTTCAAAAGCCAAAGCAGTATTCCCGTGACGATCGGTCTAATTCGCGTGGGGATCATTTTTATTTCGTTAATCGATCAAGATCACAAGCATCCATATGTACCACCGCCACAATCACCTTGTCCAATGCATTGTAATCCAAAAGATCTGGACGATGCCGATGGATTAGGGCGCAGCTAATCAGAACATACGCACCGTTATTTGCGCGAACATCAAACGACAAAAAGAAAGACTCCTTATTACATTGAAGAAAGGAACTCAACTCACAAAGCCAAACCGTCCTGCCAACTTCACATGGTAAAGGCGTAATCATATTAGAACTTTTCGACAGAAGAGTAAACAATGCCACTGTAAATTGATAAAAAGAAAAAAAAAAAAAAATTTTTTTTTTTTTTACCTGTAAGTAAAATCGCGTACGTTGACCTCAGCATACGGGGCGGTCTTTCTCTGGCACCAAAGCAAGAGACCCTCTTTTGCAGTAAGTCCCTCTTGACTAGGATGATTAGGGGTCGACGTGTCAATAAGTTCGGAACAGGGATGAATCAGGATGCACAGGGTCGAGCCAACATCCTATACAGACCTGATATCCGCGATTGTGAATCTTAAGATAATGGTCCATATCATGCCGAGAATAAGTTTAAGATTGCCATCAACAATGTCTGATCATGATTATGTGAATGTGTAAGAATTTATCTCGTCTCTTGATCGGTTGATAGATCTTATCGATCAGATGATGGTCCAAGTCACATCTTATTTGAAAAAGGGCATTGGCAAAATTTACCTTCGGCACCAATGTTGGTCAATGATACTCCTCGGTGTTTGATAAATTCCAAAGCTTTATTCACATTCTCCACTTTTTGTATCCGTAACTTGGGATTCTTGTTGTATCTCCCGAACGACACGTCCCCAATGATTTCCTAAAAGAGAACATGAGAGTGTCACGATGGATGGAGCACGTCCGTGAGTGAGAAAATGGATTGGGGGTGTAAAGGAGAAGCGTCCTTTCGACGCCCCTCCAAGTTGACGTCGTAGCATTTACATCGAATCTCGAAGGATCAACGAACGTCCAAATGAAATTGCTCACCAAAAGCTGAATCAAAGGCACACCATTGGACATTTCGCGAACCAGATCGGTGATGAGCTCGATGCCTTTATCCGCCAACTTACTGTTTACCCTGTTGCAACGAAGGTGGAATTGATAATAATTTCATAAATCGGACGAGGTTACCGTGACATTTCGGAACCCTCACCATTTTGTAAAGGTTTTTTCCTGAATTGTTTCCCACGTTCGGTCCATCACCTTCGCTGGGTGAAAAGAAGAAGGTCCGCATGTGGAATCACGAATCCCAACGTGCACTTTGGAGTACGAACGTGAACAAAGAACACGCACCTGTATCTTCCACAATTTGTTGGGAAGCCGAGGTCGGCTTGAAGGGTTGAGCCATTTGGCGAACCTTGATTACATAAGCAAGCGTGCCAAATCGAAAAAAAGATTGCGAATTTTTCACTTGGATTCGCAAAGATCGAAGTACACAGAGAATGATGTAAATGATGTGATGATGCGCAATAAATTTACGAAAATGGAAATTACGTGTTGGGTGCGTATCGGGTGCATTCACCGTGTTAATTGGTAATGGCTAGCTAACACATCATGTAAGAATGTGGCAAGCGACAATGCTAACACTAATTCGCTCCATTTACGATCCGCAATTGTCGCACAAGCGATCAGTTTTGGAACTATATGAAAGAAATTATTTTTCTGCGTGTGGGGTGTCTATAAGAAAAATAACTCTCACCCACTGATGACGCATTCCAAATTCAATAACAATTTGGGACCTTCGAGCGCATTTGAACAAAAGAGTCGACAAGATGACCGAATTGGGAGTCCGCCTAAATCCCCGGTGTTCCAAAAGAACCTTTCGGACCTTCAGGAGATCATCTCTACCGTATTCCAATCATTTCACGGGTGCAAGATAACCACATCGGACGAATATCTCCAGGAGAAGTTGAGTAAAATCACCCACGAGGATGGGATCTTTTATATCGCCACCGTACAATCCATCCAACATAACGATCAGATAAAGTCGCACGCGGAAAATATAATCAATTACATTCAGAAAACCAGATCTTTGGCAACGACCGCCGGTCGTCGCCCGGTTCCCAAGGAGCTCATTAGAGATTCCATGGACATCAAGGAGTCGGTGAGGGGATTGAGAAATGATTATGACGGAGTGCTGAGACGACTGAGAATCATTCAGGAAGAGCTTCGTAAACGGAAATGCGATATCAGCAAGCGCATAGATGAGATTCCTTTTTACGAATCGCAGGTGTACATGTATAGGAAGAAGTCCAAGCTTCATTTCATTCGGTCCAAGAACCTATTTTTATTTGGTGGTGGCATGATATTTGGCGCCCTCCTGATTGTCATGTGTGCTCTGGGAGATGCGAATGAATCGATAATAATACCGATCAATCTAACGATGTTGGGACTTGGCCTTTTGCTGATTATGGTTGGACTGGCGTTCAAGGCGACTTCATACTTGCACATCCGAAAGTCGGATCTTATTGACGAGGAAATCGAGTACACCAATAAATTGTCGGAAACCACGAATGACCAGGAGACGCGGATGATAGAACTTAACCTGATCGACATCATCTTCCAACTAAAGATCATTCTTGCTTATTGGAAGAAATGCCTATCTAACCTGGAGAATCTTATGGTGGAACTTGGACATGGAGATCACATCTTATCCGAACGCATCGAGGAAGTTTGGTTGAATATAAAGGATCAATGTGAAATCTACAACAGAATAATAGGAGAAATTTTGGATCAGGTCGATAGTGTGCAGGGAAGACAGGTAACCACGACGTCCGTCTCCTAGTTGAGAATGCATCATTGCCTCCTGGATGAAATTTGACGCACCCTGAAACTAGGATCGCGAGAAGCAATCATAGAGAATTTGATGCATTGATGCTGAGCATTATTGTACATTTGTGTAAATTATTATTTTCGGGACAGACATTTGTAATGCTGTACGATTCTTCTTCAGCTTATTATTATTATTCTTCTTCTTCTTCTTATTATTATTATTATTTTCTTCTTCCTTGTCATTTTGTATACTCAGAAAGGTTATTTATATATTAATGTAGTTGAAATTAGAGATATTCTGATTATATTTGGCCAGAAGAATCTTTCGCGTGAACCTGCCTAAATGTCAATTCAATGTTGGCGTCAATTTAATATCATTTTCCTTGTACCTTCGAGATAAGCTTTACGCGAAAACAGGTTCACATTAGGTAACGTTTTTTGTCAGATAGATTCAACTTTAAGTTTATGTAAAGTCGTTCCGCAAACGTGAAGTAACGATGTAAACGTTAAATATTTATGATGTGACACAGTGTGTGCACCCATTCAAGTAAAATTACGTTGTTCATTCATATGAAAATTCTGTGGTTGTACTCGATGACATGAAGGACGCGCGACTCAAAATGAAGTAATGGGATTGGTTTATTGTGCACCTGAACTCCAAAGCAATACGACTTAACCGTTACGTCACTACGTACGTGATTGGATGGATGATCGTCACATGCATGAATTGTCAAGTATAAAAAGGTGAACTACGAATCGGAGATCATAACCATGAAAGTTAATCAAAGTTCCTTTAAGAAGAAAACTTTGCAAGGTGGTAGCGGTGGGAGTATCACTTCAAAACCGCTACCGGGAACACGCTTATCTCCGTACAATGGGCAAACCTTGACTTCAACGGGCGTGCCTTCGCTTGATGATATCCTTTCCAGAAAACTCACACGCTGCTGGAGAACGTGACACGTTTAGCGGCATTTACAGTTCCTTAATTAACAATTCTACACATATCTTAGGTGGTGGTATTCCGGTTGGCACGGTTTTATTAATTAGAGAAGATCGATATACGGAATATTCAAAATTGTTACTTAAATATTTTCTGTCCCAAGGGATTGCCTCGGGGCATCATATTCTGTTTGCCAGTGCCGAAGAAAGGCCATCGAATTTTATAAAGGGGTTACCCTGGATCGCTAGTAGCGGATCGGATGGATCAGAAGATGCGGGTGATGGTGGTTCAGGTGCGAATAGGCTTGCAGAAATGTTGGAAGATAAGATGACTATTGCTTGGAGGTATAAAAAGATGAAAAGGTTTGAATCGAGCGTTGAAGATGGTAATTACATGATATATGTACGCGTAACTTTGATGCGTCATTGTAATGGAGATATAATATGTGTGTGGGTTGGTTTATTTCAATTCCAAAGCCACGTCAAATATCCGTTATAAACAAACTCCTACTGGAGGTGGCCTTGTGATGCATCAAGGAGTGGAAAGGCCATTTTGTCAAGTTTTCGATTTAACCAAGTTAATTCCACAATCATCGATCGAGTCTGCACCAATGACGTTGGTCGATGCAAGCATGTGGGACGATGAGATCGAGGATCCATATCATAAACTTTTATCCATAATTCGTCAAGTGATAGACGAAAAATACTTCAGGTTTGATTAGTAATTTTTTATTTCAAGTGAGTATCTCCCCTCAACCGCTGTTAGCAAATTACAATTGACGAAACCTTATCACAGAGCATCGGTTTCTCCGCCAGCTGGTGTTGAAAGGAATATAATGAGAATTGGGATTCACTCGATTGCCTCATCATCTTGGAAATCTAGAACTCCTCATGTAAATTTTTTCACCTTGTTTTTTTTTTTTTTTTCTTAAATCAAGAAATTCTTGTTAGTTAACCTTGGGTATTATTAATCAATCGGTCGTAGGATCTTTTTAGATTTTTTCATGCTCTACGTGGTTTATTGCGTTATTCGTATAGCGCTGCCGTAATAACAATTCCAGCTTACATTTATGACTCCCCTTCATTTATAAGACGTGTTGAACACGTGAGTGATGCGGTGATCGGGTTGGAATCCTTTGCGGGTAAAATTTTTCATTCTCTTTTTGGGGTGAGGTTCATTCTCTCATGCGGCAATCTATGCACTCACACCATCACATGTGCGTACGCTTAAAGGTTCACCCGAAACAGTTAATTCGGTTTACAGTGCCACTTACCACGGTTTGTTCCATGTTTATAAGTTACCCGCGATCAATTCACTCATAGCTCCTTCAGCAAAGTTATCGGTACTTTCCGGCGGGGGTGGAAATAATTTGGGTTTTAAGTTAAGGAGAAAAAAGTTTTCAATTGAAACCTTTCATCTACCACCTGAGGGTGGTGTTAACGAAAGGCGTACTAAGGACGGGATTAAATCGGACGAAAAGGACGTAGTCGATAGATCCGAGTGGTAGCGGAAGTGGTTTTGATATGGATAAACCAAAAAAAAAAATAATCTTTTTTTTCTTTTTTTTTTTTTTACAAAACACCAAGATTTTCCGAATCTCGCTACTTGGACACATGACATTGAATGCATTGCTCATTGAAAAGAACACGATAAGAATCACCCAAGAAAATTCGCTCCTATTAAAATCATGCATTTCCTTCGCGTTTAAAAAAAAAAAAATATTGTATAAACTTTACGAAAAAGATCAAATTTAATAATAAATGGTTCAAATAATAATTTATGAAAGTAATGAATTTTTCATTGATACATTTCTTACCAACCTCTGGGTTCTTTCCAGTTGGATTCTGCAATTTCACATCCGATAACATAAAAAATTCTTATAAAAATGATCACAGGACGCGCAACTCAATTTTGTTGATTGAAAAATACGCGCGGAATTGAATTTGAAAAGAAATGAAAACAGCAAAGAAGTGCAACATCAAGAAAATTACTTTCTTCTTTCCTCAACGACATTCCGATATTACTATTTACCAATAATTGGAGGATGTCCATTTACTCGCGCTTGGCAAATTTTTTTCGATATTATTCCACCACATTCTAACCAAAGATGAACATCCGAGCCTTATAATCAGAGATACAACCTGATGTGAAAATAATTCCTTGGTTTTCCAAAAGTTATCAGAACGCATCGGAACAGACATAGTGACGAGCTCTTCTCGCCATCGAGATCAATCCGAAAAAGGAAAATCCGTGTTTTCGTTGAAATCATCAAGCTGTCATATTTCGTAATCAATCAACAAGGCTATGCCCATCCGCACGTTCACGTTACTCGGATGAATTCCGACTTTCGCGTCTATTGTCTTACTGTTTGTTTGGGAAACTTGATGACAGTTGCAAGTATGACTGACTTCATTCAATTTCTTCCAACAATTAAATTCATTTAAATTCTTTTCGCTCTTAGAAACGCGACATTCCAATCTCTATGCGATAACGCAAGAACCTAACCATTTAAAACAAAAGCACCTCTTGGTTTCTTCGCTCATTAATATACTTAAGTTCAATAGATGTTTTTTATTTTGTGATAGGTAAAGTTATATTACATGTGATATACTGTACATCTTAAAATTCATTCATTTTTTAAAATATAAATTTGTCTCCTGCGACGGAGGAGTTAATGCTTAAAATAAAAATTCGAGGTACTGATTGCACCCATTGACGCATTGACGGGATTCTGAAGCAGTACAAATTATCAAAAAGTCATTAATTTTTAAAATTTTTTACTCTTAAGAATTCCAACGTACAGTGATTGTAGTCGGAATTCTGAAGTAATGCTACATGCCAAAAATTGCTGACTTTTAACATAAGAATTAAAGTGTGCAGTGCAGTGATTGCAGTTGCACTTGGCGTATTGCCGTTATCATTGAAAAAATGATTCAAGAAATTATAAAATCATTCTACTGTCAAAAAAGTGTGCAGTGATCGCACTTTGCGAATTGAAGTTATCATTAAAGAAATTATAAAATTCTTCTGCTATCAAAAAAAACTTCGCTATTGAAGTTATCATTCAAGAAATCATAAAATTCTTCTGCTATCAAAAGAACTTCGCTACTGAAGTTATCATTCAAGAAATCATAAAATTATTCTGCTATCTCGCTACTGAAGTTATCATTCAAGAAATCAAGCTTCTTCTGCACCTCGCTACTGAAGTTATCATTCAAGAAATCAAACTTCTGCTCCTCGCTGAAGTTATCATTCAAGAAATCATAAAATTCTTCCGCTATCAAAAGAACTTCGCTACTGAAGTTATCATTCAAGAAATCATAAAATTCTTCTGCTATCTCGCTACTGAAGTTATCATTCAAGAAATCAAAATTCTTCTGCACCTCGCTACTGAAGTTATCATTCAAGAAATCATAAAATTCTTCTGCTATCAAAAAAGTGTGTAGTGATCTAATTGAAGTTATCATTAAAAAAATGATTCAAAAAAATTATAAAGGTATTCTACGTGTCAAATTTTTTAAAGAAAATTCTGATAGTGCCAAGTTGTAAATAAGCATTCGAGCGATTGTAAAAGTTGGCGGAATTCTGAGCAATGATATTTATGAAATTTTCATTTTTAATTTTTTTTAATAAATACAGATTCAAGTTATCGTATGCGGAATTCTACTCATCAAAATTAATGATTTTTTTAAAATAAGGATTCGGAGATTTGGAAATTCTGAGGTAACACCACTTGTCGTATTTCTCATCGACGTAAAATTTAACGTTCATTGTTGAAAAGAAAAAAAAAGGTCGACTTTTGATTAGGAAAGAAATAGCGACGTACAGCGAATGGATAAAAGGAATGTATGCTGTATATGATTAACGGATTTTAAAACAATAATCACAAACTCCATCACCCTCTTACCGGAAATTTTTAAAAAAAAGTTGGTAAGAGGATGGGAGCAGTGCAAAACTTGGGACAAATGTTTCTTTGGGTATAAATACGTGTCCCTATTATGATATCCGGAAGAGTTGGTTGTTGAAAATATTATTGGTTTTTCGTTGTAGTTACTATATTCGGTTTCCCCGTTAACCATTACCATGCTCCATAGTGTCGCCCGAAAAGCGCATAACGAGTTAGAATTCCTGGTAGAAGTTAATCTTCACTGTTTAAATCCCATTTAAAAGAAATTTTTTTTTGTTTTTCAACCTAATTAACCCAATTCAATAACTATCCTTTATGTCCAAGGTCTGTTGCTTCCCAATTGTACGTAGACGTCGCGACACGTTTGCTGTCCTCTCGACTTGGTCGATAAAAGGCGCATAGACCTGATATAATTCACAAGGTTTTCGTCTAAATTATCCTAGCGCTGCTTTAAGCACGCGTTCAAGACGATTTATCCAAATACAGTATGAGATGAATGACTTTTCGTCATAAGTTCATTAGGACACTATTCTTTTTTTGCATGCTGATTGATATCAATAAAACGAATAAAGATTTTATTGATATGGTATGGGACATTCAATGCATGAAGTTATTAAAACTATATACGGTATAATTGGTTGCGAAACGATTAACACTCGAATATAAAAATCACTTATTATAAATAATGATTAAATTCAAAACAAAATTTTAAATACATTGTACAGTATATTCTTAAATATTTATTTAACCATTTTACTGGATTTTTATTAAAGCAATCGTTGAGTAACTTATAGGTTATGCTCTTTGCTATAAAGCTTTGAGAATTCGATAAGTACGTCATTATCTTTTCTTTCTTTTTTGATTATTTAGAATATTCATTATTTAGTTATTTATATATTAATTGATTAGATACCCTTTAACATTAAATAATATTATACTTTAGATATTTATTTTATTTTATATTTAATATCGCAAAAAATTCTTATTGTTATTGAATGATTATTTGTTTATATATAAATTTTAACTTTATTTTGTTTATATTATAACTTTATATAGATATTTAATTAACTTGTTTTGATTTTAATTTGAAATCAAAATATTATATAAGATTTGATATATTTATATTTTTATTACTTATTTTTGTGTAAATAAAAGTTTATTTAAATTATATATACAGTATATTAGATTAGTTAGATCTTAGGGTTTTTGTTGTTTTTTTAAATCTTTAAGAATTTAAAGTTACTTGATTTATCAAATATATTTATTGAATTTAAGATTTTTTGCAATAATAGAAAAGAAATTAACTTATATTAATCTAATTGTAAATTTTGTAAAGTAGATATTGATTTTCTTTTTCAAATTATAAATTAATTTATATATATTTTTTTATTCTTTTTAAAAATTTTTTAAAAAAAAATATCAAGTTAAATTGAATTATATCTATCTTAATCGGTTTTTTATTTATTTATTTTAAACTATAACTAGGTATTGAATACATGATTTTTATTAATATTAAATTATAATTAGTATATTAATTATCTTATACATATTATATATTTCTATATTATCAATAACAATATTGATATAGTTAATCTAGTTCTTGTATTAGTCTAATTGTAACCAACTTATATATACTTTAAAATTAAAATTTCAAGAATTATTTAATAATCCAGAAATTACGGCCATATACAGTGAAAAGCACCGGAACCCATCCAATCTCCAAAGTTAAGCCACTGATGGCCCAGTCAGTACTATGGTTGAGGAAAAATTATTTAATCATCCAGATACTCTAATACTTTTTATTTAAATCTTGAAAGAAATTTCTATTCTCTTTGTTACTATCTATAATATTATAAACAAGTTTCGATTATAATTGATCCTTTATTTAAACAAGTATCCCATCCAATCTCCAAAGTTAAGCCACTGATAGCCCAGTCAGTACTATGGTTGAGGAAAAATTATTTAATCATCCAGATACTCTAATACTTTTTATTTAAATCTTGAAA